TTTTTCAGGGATGATCTTGAATATATGCTAATTATATTTAAGGAGGAAATAATTTACAAACTTTGAAATTGTATTATCAGGAACAACTACTTTTAGCACAATTGAAAAATAGATTTTGCTCTGACGCCAGAATAGAGAACTGCTACTCTTAGCAAAGAGAGTCAACAGTTATTAAGCTTTTAATAAGTACTACTAGCTGAGTGAGGAAAGTTTCCTACTGTGTGATTCTTAGAATCTTAAACCCTAAAGAGTATGTGCTGTTACTATCCAAGTGGGAAAACAGAGGATTGCGGAATAGACTGGGGAAAGGCTGAGTGTCTTTGGATAGAGGTGTCTCTAAGGTAAACCAGGTATGGCACATGCCCCAGACCCTTTAGGAGCCAGCAACCTCGAAGCCTTTTCTCTTAAGCCAATGAGGTCAATGCCCTTCCACAAACACATTGAATAGAAAGGTGTAGTAAGGGAGAGCATAAAAGGCCACTTCCCCTGCATACAAGCCCAGGAGGGTACCAAATAGATATAGAACTGACCTTTCAATGTGCAGGAAATACACAATAAGATGGGGCAGTCGAGCTAACACCATCAATTCATCTTGAGATGGAATGAGCAATAGGTGAGTGGCTGTCCAGACCTCTCCTTCCCCCCGCTGCTTCCCTGTAGAGGTGCAGTTCCAGCATTTTCAGTGATGGATGGATGCCTCTGTCTCTGCATCCCAACTCCACGTTTGAGCAGTGAAGCATTCTAACTAAGCCATGCAATTTGTGTGTCATTTCAAGATACTAGGATGTTCCTTTCTGGTACAACTCTCACTTTCTGTCCATGTAACATTTTAACTCAACTGTGGTTGGCGAGAAAAGGGATACAAACAGTGTTCAAATAAAGACCACTAACTTCTTGCCCACAGAGCTGGGGGAAGATGTTTTTTGTCTCTCAGCATGGTGCTTGATCAATGGATTTGGAGTGTTGGAAACTGCTCTCTCACTACCATTAAAAGAAAGAAAGAGAAGGTGGGCACAGTGCAGACAGCAGTGGAGGAGACCTTCAGGATCCACCACTAACAGAGATGACAAAGGAGGGAGTCGGTGCCTGTCTGTATCGACTGTATGTTGCCAGTGTGAGTGATTAGTTACTAGAAACACGAAGACGTCAAAGGAGATAGTAGAATTGTTGACATCTTGTGAACATGTTAATATTGTCTCCTTTATAGCTGAAAGAAGTACAAAAGGCACTTTGAAACAAATTAAGGGAGAATAGTTATGAAAGCATTGCTGCCGTCTACTCATTCAGAAATAAATGTATTGGCAAGCATTCGACGAGCATTTACAAAGTGCAAAACCCTCCGACCTTTACTTATCACTGGATGTAATTGTCATGAATTGTGAGAGGGCATAAGAAAGCCAATTTGCCTGGTCACCTTGAAATGCATTTTGATTGCTCTGATTTGGCAGTGACAAGGGGCCTGGTTTGTTAGGCAGGACAATCAACGGGCTGGTCAGCTCGTGGCACCCACTGATCCGAAGTATAATCATCGCAGTCCGATGTATAATCCATATCGCCTGACTGGCTCACTGAGGACCTGGGCAGTTTCCTTCAACCATCTCAATATGCAAAGTCACTTAGTATATAGATTATATATATAACCTGGTACTATGATAGGTATTGGTAGTTCCGAGTTAAATAAGACATAGCCAATGCTTTCAGGAAACTTACAAACACATAGGAACAAGAATAATTATTATTTAGTTGATAAGTTCATAATAAAATGGGAATTGAATCTAGGGGAGCACAAGTTGATACTGTGTTGAGTCTATTGCTGTGACTCGATGCGACGGTCTCATCAAGTGTCCTGTTCACCGTTCCTCCACCCGTTCCAGCCCTCATGTGTTCTAGGGGTGCAGTCCAAAGGGACATGCACCACTAATCCTCAGCAGAAGAAAGGCAATCTCCTCCCATGTGATGATTCACAGCTTCCAAAACCTGTTTTGGAATAAGTTGGTTCCCACTTTATAGCAATGAGAGGTTTTGAGAGATAATTCCACCAAGCATAAGATCTTTTTTTTGATTCAGTGACTGGGGTGATGGGGGGTAGGTGTGTCAGAGACAATACGATTGGCACAGGATAGAGCAATGTTTAGGGCTGTTTGTTGTACATAGGGTTGCTATGAGTTGCAGGCAACTCAATGGCACATAACAACGGCAACAAGAACAAGATCCTTTTTTAGTAAGAGCTAGAGACATTATTTCTCTTTTGGTTTGCTTGGGAAAGAGAAGCCCTGGTAGGGCAGTGGGTGCACATTCAGCAAGGTCAGGGGTTCAAATCTGTCAGTTGCCTCATTGGAGAAAGATGTTTTCATAAAGATGGACAGCCTTGGAAAGTCCACAAGACAGCTCTGATCTGTCTCTAAGTCAGAATGTGGGCAATGCAATTCCAGTGCTTGTTTCAGTGATAGTGTTAGTGACTGAGTGACCAGTAGGATAACCAGGACAGCTGGGAGGAAAGAATGTTCCAGAGCAAAGCAAGCAACCCCAGTGCAGCAAGAGGTGAACCTTCCTGAAGAGGGGAAGTAGAAGTTGAGTTAGCACTTTGAAAGAAATAATTTCCATTTCTATCAGAGTTATAATGAGTTAAATACTATGTTCATTCAGCCTTACAAATTCAAATAGGATGCCAAAAACATCTTGCTGGGCAATTTTATCTTTTCCTCTGCTTTCCAGCTGAATTATTTTTAATCTCCCCAGTTCCTTTAATCTCAAAAATAATCATTTGGGCCCAAATCTTCGAGAAGCAGAATGATTTCAGGGAGAAATCCTCAATGAGAAGCCAGTAGGTGAGGATTCTGATTGGTTCCAGTTGGTCGTTAACTGCATGCCATTGGATAACTGGAGTCCGCATTTCCTCTCTAGATGTATGGAAAATCCCTAGTTGAATTCTATTTATTATTTTAGGAAGCTCATCCAAAATTCTTGCCTTTTCTCTCTGCTGTCTTCCCAAACAAGAATGATTTCAGGGAAGCAGAAGCCAGAGTTTGCCTTTAGACACATTTTGATATGTTTACTTAGTTTGTAATATTCTCCCTCTTTTCAAAATTCCTATCAGCTGTGTCATATATATA